TCTAAAGTGGAAAATGTTCACGATCAAGTGCCTTAAATTGCTGCTCCCGCCGAATTTGCAATAGAGATTGTTGCGTTGTGTGCATTATCGAGCGATCGATTGCGTCATTAATGTTGAATACACCGTTTTAATCGGATAAATCCATATGACATCGCCATTTCCCATGTTTGAACAGCACATTAGAGGAAAATCGCGTTGTACGCAATTAAGATTTTTTCGAAGTTTAGCCTCGATATTTGGCTTGAAATGTCGATTTCTGAAAAACATTGGGAATATCATATTTGAGGACATGTTTGTAATTCGAAACGCATTCAGTACGCATCTTCGAGTAAACTTGTTTACAATACAATTCCTGAACATTTCGACGTCACAATTTAACGATTGCTTTTATTTTTCTTGCTAACATTTTTTAATAATTTTCTAACGCACTTCACAGGATCTCGATAAGTATGACAAGTATATGAAGGCCAAGGTTTAAAGGATGATCTGATATACACAATACTAAAATAATAATATACACAAAAGTCTATATTCTAAGCTCATTTTTATCGATAAAAGTGCGTCAAATATGGCTTCTCAGCCAATCGGATGGGTTCCTACGCCACTTTTAGAGACACTTTTATCGATAAAAGTGAGTTTAGAATATAGATTAAAATAACAGCGTTAGAACGCGTTGTTATCCTAGCTTAATTTCTTTATCTTGGAAAGATAATTCCACCCCATTTAAAAATCTATATTTTTTCATTTTCACGACTAATTTTCGCAATTATAAATATTCTGATTTGAATGAATAACTTTTTGTGTTAACGATGTACGATGGTCGTGGAGTTAGTATAATAATATTGAACTGAATTGCTCATTAACTGAGAAATTCTAACTCTAACATTTGCTTCTTAAGCCAGTGGCAGACGATACTTGTTTTCGTTCTGAATTGCTTGCTGGATAGCAATACTGCGTTCTGATCGGTGTATTTCCAAAAAATGGATGACAATACACCAATCAAAACGTAGTATTTCCATCCAACAAACAATCCTATACGAAAACAAGCATCGTGTGCCGCTGGCTTTATTCATTTCTCTTCGAAGTTACTAAAGCACCATTTCATTATTGTTTTCGCTAAATCCGTAGAATTGATGAAACCTTTCAATTTAGAATTGATTTTCCACCATTGAGAATTCACAACGCGGGCGACTATTTGTAATTTAATTACAAAGCCTATCCCGAACATTGCCAATTTATAATTTCGCGAAATGTATTATCGAGTCGGTAACGTCGGAAATTGTCTGCATATCCAAGAATGCAATATCGATATATTAATGTCTGCTTATATATGAGTTTGCGCAGGCAGGTGAGTCTCCGATTTGGATACTGTCGTACCCACCGAGGAAACTTTATTATCCTACCCGTCGAATGACGTATGTGGATCTATTGAAAGATATCACCTCCCCTCCTCCCTCTCTCTCTCTCTCTCTCTCTCTCTCTTTCTCATGCTGCCTTTATCTTTCCATTTCGTCTACCTATCTGTCCCCATCTCTCCTGTATGTACAACGCCTGAGTACACGTCACTCGACATCTCCGCTCTTCAAGAAAATTACCATCTGCGTTTGTCACGTTGGCATTATTCTCTGACGCGTATTTCCACATGTGCGAAAAACATGAAGTCGTAGTCGACCGTCGAAATGGATTGAGTAAGGCTGATATATCGCGGTCGGATAGAAATTTGCGGAATCGCCGCGAAGAGATTTCAAAGGAGACATCGCTTTAATAACGAAAAATCCGACCTAGATATGCGAGATGCGTTGAAAAACCTTCAATCAAGCAGTATTCGTGTAAACGATATACAGCCAGTTCTTCTGACATCATCACGCGCGTCACGTGTTTCACAAAATTCTGAGAAGATTTTGTTATTTTGGTGAATAAAGAAAGAAGTATATATAAAAGTGATAAACGACCCTTGCGGCAGATTTGGAGAGGGATTCTTCTAAAGTAGGGAGGAAAATGCACGTTGATAAGGTAAAAATCGAATTAGATTTTAAGAACACACAAAAGGTGCTTTATTATACACGAAAATTAAGGAAACGTGAAGCTAAATTAAGCTCGTTCATTGAGGAATCTAGGTTAATAAAAAAACATCTTTCGTACTTAGACGTTCGATTTTGATATCATGAAAATTCTGCAAAAAGATAAAGTATACAAATCTATTATTAACTGGTTTAAATTAAAAATGACATAAAATTAACTATTATTAACTTTTAACCAATTATATTAGCCACTTGATTATTTCGTATGATTTATTAAGTGGTATTATGCCCTCCTATTTACATTTTTTTATAATAATTTTGTTAATAATAATTAATATTTTTGATTGAAAATTTAACGATTAAATTTGTCCAAGTGTTGTTCAATCAAAGTCATGAAATATCAATTACTTAAGACGTTATTTTTATAAAAATACGTGACATTGGATCGATGGTAATGCGTCCCCCTCCCTCCCATCACTAAAATAGATAAGGAAAAGTAGCTTTGTCTAAAAAAAGTACAGTGTTACAAATTTATATATAATGCTTCAAAATTAACTCAATTCAAAATTAACTCTTACAAGAAACAACGATGAGTTTAACTTTGAATTTTTTATGTAGATATTGATTTATTTATCAGAAGGTAGATACAAACTGTCAGAAAGACAGTTTCTACAAAATGAATAGACTTTTAATTATCGACTTATCGAATAACTATTTCGAGATATGAAAACTTCGAAAAAGAAGACGTATTTGATTTAATCCTGCAGAAACTAAATTAACAAAATTTCTAATTTCGGGATGTCCCGTGTGATAATATGCCTAAGTTTAAGAAGTATGTATAATCAAATGCTAAAAATATCTTGAAGGATATATCGAAAGCAAAAGTGCGCTACAACAAATGGTGCCTGTATATTGGTGTATTAATGCGACTGCGTAATGGTACAGGCTATTAAACAAATGACAACCCAAGTAATTACTTGAATTTGTAACAACGAAGTATTAAGAGAGCGGCGTTATAACATAATTTTCCACTACGTTACTAAGAATCGATTAATAATGAAACGCTTGTTCGTTCAAATAAACATACTGTCGCACCGTTTTTATCGGTCGCATGACTTTTTGTGTCTGTCGCGGTAAACGATCGTTAGAAATTCTCGATAAGCGTCGTACGATACATCATAAACGAACGAAAACGGACGATAAGAAGTTTTCACGTAACAACCTACGCACGTGCTCTAATTCAAAGTTTTCGAACAAAAACCCGAAAAAATTCGTCAGGAAATCAGCGCAGTTGGACATTAAGAGCAAATATCACGAGACTTGGACTTCGCGAGATGAGGACTACGAGATTCCGCCATGACTCTCGGTGAATATTTTTCTCTGACGTGTCTTTAACTTCCCACCCGCAAAAACGCTCCGTCGGATTCGTGGGACGCGTTTCACGTATTATAAACGGGCCACCTGCTTTAGCCAACGCGCGAGAATCGCACCGATAGTAATAGAACAAGATTGTAATAAATTAACGGCGAATTAGTATTGGCCGATTGACCTCTCGCCGGCACGCTGTGTACGAGCGCCGCGCGAACCCTCTCACGCCGTGTGAACCTCAGCACGGACCAACGGGGTTAATTAGTTCAAAGTGCCTTCCATCTGCGACAAAGACGGTGTCTGATCCGTCGTCGTTTCGAACACTCGATGATGACTGCGCAACGTCACGCGCGCACTGTCGAGATCTCGAGCACAGAGATATGGTCTCTTACGAGGAAAAGGCTCGATATAGTTTCTTCGTATGCATTTTAGTTAATTCTTCCTTTCCCCTCGTTTTCTCGCGTTCGCAAGACAATTTATCGGATATTAAGTTCCTCGAGGTACGGAAATGTCGAAGCTTCAAGTTTCACTTATAATCGATGGACTGTATTTGTCGTAAACTATCGTTGAGTAATATTAATCGTTAGGTCGTCTGTGGCAATCTCGCGCGATTGATCGATGGATATTGCGCGTGAAACAAAATTGACAAAATGCTCTAATAATTTTCCAGAATTTTGACATTTCTCTATTCTGCAAAACCGAGAAACATCTTTATTTTCTCCTGTTTCATTTCACTCTTCTGCATCTCATTATGCTAATTATTACAAACTCCTTACTTTTTCGATGCGTCTTTTTGACGCTCCCTGGATATCTTCCGGAAAGATATCGAATTGAGTAAACAAAGACGCATTGTAATAATGAAAAAAATTACCCAGAAACGAATTCGACTGGAATTTGTAAAATTATGTAACAGAAAGTTATATAATACTCGCAAGTAGCAAAGTCATGCCCAATGACCTTAGTTATGACATTTTACCTTGCTACTTGTTTGTTACACAAAATTATTCCAGAAAAAAATTGCGTAAATAATATAATTATATATAGAATATATGCATTTGTACAAAAACATGTAAGCGCGAGCGTGGCGTAACAGACAGCGCACTGGTCTGTTATATTAGAGTTCGCTTTTCTCGGTAGAACCAAAATATTTTTCATACGCTCGTATCTCCTCTCCGATGGACTGGCAATCCATCGAGAGTATCTCTGTAAAAAACCTCATACAAATTGCGTTCGGAATCGGCGTTAAAATTGTAGGCCCCATATAGTTGTGTATAGCCTGCGTGCACACCACAATTATATATGCGTGTGAGGATTGGACAACGTCGAAAGACATTACAAAACCGAAAATAACTCGACATTTTGTAATGGCTCGATGTCGACTATTTCATCTTTTATCAGATCTGTCAGGTGACGAGATAATCTATTAGTGCATATACATATATATATATAAACATATAATTATATATGATTATATATTTATATATATAAATATATAACTCTATGTTTCATCACTTCATAAATAATTATATATTTTTATATACGGACATATCTTACATAAGACGTCTTATGTATAATTTTATACATTTTTATTTAAATATATCTAGTCGTACATGGAAAATGTTTTCCCGGATACCTGAGTATGATACCATAGCACACCGTGACCGATTAAATATTTAACGTAAATACTGCTGAATAATGTCTTTGCCGCGCGTCTTATTGATTGCATTCAGCAGAAAAAGCAGCTTAGTAAGCTCTTTGCGCTACGCTGCCAGCAACTTTGCAATCCTAAATTCTGCTAAACTGATACTTTACGCCTCTCCATTATATTAGGCGTTCTGCATATTTTTAATACATTGGATCGCTTAACTGAAACAGCGTAAATTGCCAAGTGTCATTCAGCAGAAAATCTTATAACAGTTGCCGACAATGCAGCGGAAAGTATTTGCCGCTTTTTCTGCTGAACACAGTCGTTGGTTAAGTCTTTTACGTTTATTTTGATTTATATATCGACAACTCTTAACCATTTGAGTCCCAAGCAGCGCGATCGCGCTGTTGAGATTTTATGACGCAAGTACATCACACAGCTCCTTTTAATATAAATAGTACATTTTACAATATGTAGAATAATAGACAAGAATCACGTTATCATTATAACACATACAAGAAGCGCTATCGCGCCGCCTGGTATCTCTCGACATAAAATAAAACAAGCGCTATCACGCTGCTTGGGTCTTTTCGTACTCATTTAGTAAAAGCGCGGTTTGGGATTCTTCGACAGTGTTTTTTCAATACCCCCCGGGACTCAAACGGTTAATATACACATACTCAAGTACGTCTGTCGAATTCGCTGAATGAGATATTCAAAAGAGCGCTTATCTTGGCGCGCGTTACCTCGATTGAACGATGCTGCGTCCCATACCAGCTGACCCAGTTGACAGACGGAGGTGAGGTTAAGTTAGATTTCCCGTCGACCGCTTCATGAGTTCTCTCCATCTTATTGAGAATGGTGCTCGCGTTTGGAGGATTGCCATCCTTGAAACGGCTTCCGTCGCTTCTTCTGCAATGTTCATCATGTAAGTGCAAAAGATATATATTCAAGAATAGGGCAAGTTTCGCGAGAGATCGCATAAGATCGTCCTGCTGGAATACGATTTACGTCATGATCGACGCCCAGATATCGAAGGATTCGCTACAATGTCAAGTTAATCCAGTTCCCATGCCGCCTTTTCTCGTGAATGTTAAAAAGAGCAATTAAAAAGGCATTATTAATTGAAAACTTGAAGAAAGCTATTATACTATATGTTAAATGGACAACGATATATCTGAATTATCCCGTTTTTAAACCAAGAGGCGCGTATTTTGGTAAACTGAAAATAACTCGACATTTTATAATGACTCGATGTCGACTATTTAATTTTTTATCAGATCTGTCAGGTGACGAGATAATCTGTTAGTACAAAAAAGTCTTGGCTATATTTAGCCGAGCAATTCACATTGTTAACATACTTTTGCGAGTACTGAAAAGTTATAGATATAGATGAAATTTAATAAAACCTAGAGAAATACACTCAATTTGCTGTATGAAAATTAATTATAATTATTAATATTTCTAAAATATTATTACATCATTATTATATAATCATTGTCTACAATTAAATTGTTATTATACTCTTAGTACTCGATTAAAGATTAACACTTAAATTTCATTTATTTTAAATTACGTGCACAATTATATTGATGGTAAATATTCACCCTTACTATTCCTTTCCTCCTCCCCTTTTCTCTTTCATATCATAGAGATCATCCTCCTGAATAAAAATCTAAAGGTCTTAGCCATTGTTTGTTAGAAAGTTATTAACAAAAGAAGTTTAAGTTGTTATTGACACTTGAATCTTTCGCTTTACTAAATTAATGAATATACGAGGGCAGTCCGATAAGTACTTAGCCTACAAAAGAAAAACGAAAATTTTGGAAAAGTGGCGATTTATTTCTCAACATAGTCTCCTTTTAGCTCGATACACTTGACCCAGTGATGCTCCAACTTCTTTAACCCATCTGAAAAATACGTTTTCTCGAAGTCTGCAAAGTAGGCCTCCGTGGCGGCGATGACCTCCTCAATTGGTCGAATTGAACTACGAACTGCTGCTCCATCCACCGTATTCTCCAGATTTGGCCCCGTGCGACATTTTTTGTTTTCAAACTTGAAAAAGTCACTCGCCGGGCAGAAATTTGAGTCGAATGAGGAGGTCATCGCCGCCACGGAGGCCTACTTTGCAGACTTCGAGAAAACGTATTTTTCAGATGGGTTAAAGAAGTTGGAGCATCGCTGGGTCAAGTGTATCGAGCTAAAAGGAGACTATGTTGAGAAATAAATCGCCACTTTTCCAAAATTTTCGTTTTTCTTTTGTAGGCTAAGTACTTATCGGACCGCCCTCGTATTATATACTAAAACATTCCGAGAATATTAGCAAAGGCCCACTACAAAGTCAGAGATCTGAACTTTGAAATTATCTCGTCACCGCGAGTCTTTCTTGCCTCATCATCGGCGCTCCAGTTGTCAACTGAAGGACTGGGAGATTTCTTACAATTTTCTATATCGCAAAAAAGCTGCAATGTTGGGAGTTCATGGAATAATTTCAAATTTTATATCCAAAATCTTTGAAAAGGAAGGACAATGTCATTGGAGGGCGGAGGGGGATGTTAATAAGGGTGAATATTTACCATCTTTTCATGAAAAAAAAAATTTCTTTCGTATGTATTAATACGATATTGTATTAATACGATTTCTTTGTTAATATTTCTCCTTCATATGCGCTATACTAACGCAATTATTGTAACAAGAAGTCGTGACGTTGTACACGTGCTCACTTATTTAAATCGGCTGCTTTATCGTAAGTTATTACAGCTGGACGCATGGTTTTCCGATTTTCTCATTCCCGAGTATTTTCAACTACTACGATTTTCAACTGCTTTGTTATTCAAGATGGAGTTCGACGAGTAAACCGTTTGTGCCTTACGTATTGTCAATGTGCAAGGATTGCAAGTTTATTAAAGATGTGTTGTCCATAACTCAAAATAATGAAAAAATTACAAATTGATCTACATTACATTTAAAAATTTGACCAAAAATTTAACAATAATTCAGAGACTGGATCAAAAATTATTCCACTTTAAAGGAAGTGTAAGGTGAAATGAGTTTGATAAAAATGTAATGAAATTTGCATTACATATACATTAAAATATTATCTAACTCATTGTTCGTGCAATTAGAAAAAAGTTGCGAGCTGAGACATTTTTAATTAAAGTTAATACTATACATGTTCCTTAAGATTAGCGTGTCATTTTTAATTTCTATTTTTAATATCTTTTAAATTACATATAAAAATAAGACTGTAATGAAAAGCTATTATGATATTAAAGACTAATATGCAGACATTATACACAAATTTCAAAATTATTGACAATTTTGTTTTGAAAATTCAGCGGTATAAAGTTCATAACTTATAGAAATACTCGGAATACATGGCCGAAAATAACTTTTTCATATATAATTATATATAGAATATGTCCACATAAAAATATATAATTATATATGATTTTGTGTGTGTGTGCAATATATATAATTATATCAAATTATATACATAGAACATTCTTTTGCGTGTATGCATATATTTAAATATTTATACACCTCTTTTTATTATTTGTGCATTTCTACTAGATGAAATAATACATAAAAATGGCATTAATTAGAAAAATAGAAAATAATAAAATATTCGTATTTATAATATTGTGTATATATATCTACGTCAGCTTCAATTAACATTTATTATTTAGGTAGTGAAATAAATGTACAGGAACGTAATTTTGTTTGATAAATACTAACTTTATGAGTGATCCTTTTGATGTGCCGCTGAAAATACGACACTAATCGGCAATACATCCTTAAACGAATGTTAACGAATCGTCTTCCCGGCGTTACTATAACAATTAAATCGCATCTGACTTACCATTTTGGATATTATCTCTTTCTCTTTCCTTCCCTCTCTCTCTATCGTTGTATCGCCACCAAATAAAGCTAAGTAAAGGTAAACGAGTCTGAAGGAAGTATTCGACTTTTCCAGGTCGCCGAGCGATGGTGAGCAAATTCTGGTGCCAAGAAATCGGTCGCAGGTGGCGTCAACGGCGGCAAGAACCGCCGCACGCTCGCCTGCTGACAGAGCCCAAGTGCCAGTCGCATGCTGCGACTTGGTACCTGTTCTATCGCTGGATCGTTTTCTTCGTATGGACCGCCTTCGTGGTGTGCTCGCTGTTCGAGTTCGGCAGCTACCAGCCGCTAGGCATGTACGACAAGTGGCCGATTTATCTTACAAATTGGGACGTCACGCTGGGCTTCTCTCAGGCCCTGATCGGCGGTGTTCTCGTGTCGAAGCGCTGGCGGTTGCAACGTATATCAGGCTTCGACCCGTGCAACCTCCGATTCGAGTCCACAGAACGGCTATACTGGTTCCTGTACGTTGTTACAACCAACATCGCGTTCGGCGTAACCATGTGCTACTGGTTAACCGTATACGATTCGAAGATCCATCATTTGGACCCGCTCAACATCATAATGCACGTGTGCAACAGCGTGATGATGATGATCGATCTGTTCGTTACCAGCATACCATTCCGCTTTCGTAACTTCTGGTGGTGCTTGTCAATCGTCATGTTATACCAGGTGTTTTCGGTAATCTACTACGCCAGCGGAGGCTTGGATAAGCAAGGTCTTCATTACATCTACAAGATTCTGGATTGGAAGAAGCCAGCGGCCGCCTTACTCGCGTGCGCCGGCGGTCTCACCTTCGTTACCGTGTTGCATTGCGTCACGTGCATGTTGGTGAATATCCGGGATCGTCTGTACCGCAAAGTCGCTGAGAAAGTGAATAATAGATCTGTACAAATCAACGAGCAATCGCTTCCGGAAAAACGGACGGAGATGGTCTAAGCGATTCGCTTGAAATCGATTGTTTTGGGTGAAATATCACTTGTCCTCTTCTCTCCATATGCTTTAATCTGGTGAATGAGAGGAACGATATATCCAGGCAGCTTGACATTCGACAAGAGAAAATTCGTCGACGCACAGCGCATCGAAAATATAAAGCCAGTGGATATGGACTAAAAAATGTCGTGATTGTTCGGTTGAAACCGTGTAAAATTTATATCGCATAATGATCAAACCAAAGCCTTTTGAATCGATATTGTTATTAATATTTTTTTTTTTTCGTTACCGTAATACTCAAATATTAACATAATCCCAAAACACATGATGAAATACTGTTATTTCCGTTTGCCTTGAAATTGCACAAAATGAAGCTCGTATCTATAATTTCGTATAATTATAATGCCTCATATATGTGTATATATATACACCATTGTTGACCGTGATTAAAGGGAATAAAAAATTAAAATATTAAAGAAGACAGAGAGAAATAGGTTTTTAGACACAGACAGAGATAGGTTTTAGACAGAGACAATAGAAATAGGTTTTTAGATAGAGAATTTTAGATGTTTAATTAATTACACGAACTGAGATCTCTTCCGTATAATAATAATTAGCTGAATAGCGCGCTGTGTTGCTCTAGTTAATGACAAAAAACAATATCAATAAGAATATCATTATAGATTCAGAGGGCGTGATCATTCTACCCTACATTTTTCACGTTTCGACAGAAAAATGTCGACTTTATTTTTTAGCCCATATATGTATGTCCACAGATTTTATAGTTTCGATCCATTGTGCGACGTATCCCGACAGCTACGCCTTTTCGAGTCCTATGCGAACGGCTCTTGTGTCGCAATTGAGTTCCTAAAAACAATCAAAAATATCAATATCAGGATGTTAATTCGAATGATGCGCGAGCGAACATGCAAGACAGTAAACAGGTAATTCGCGTCTGTTCGCACTATGAGATTCGTCTCTCTTCGACGGTATTATTTCTAACAAGACGAAAGACACGTCGAGATTCTTGACTTAGCTGATCGTCGAGATTCGGCTTACATATCTGTTCTCGGTCGTACGAAAATCGCTTGTCAACGACGAAATGCGTATTGCTAGTATTGTTAGATGGAGAAAATTACAGTGATATCCCGCGATTTCGTTATTATAACTGTTCTCGGGTGCAACGTGCAACATACTTTATCGTTCACGATGATAGCGAATTATAGTGAATTCTGTTTCAGAGTGTGGATTTCATCATTTGAAATGAAATTTAGTTGATATGTATGATGCAGAAAATCCTTTCTTCGACCAAGTACGCTGCATTTTTCGTATATAAGAGAGACAAAAATATTAATTACGTGCAACGTTACGCGTAATCGAATTATATATTTGTTCCCACATAGTTAGCTTAATTATCTTATCACGAGTGTGATAAAATAGACGCGTAATTAGCATACATTATTATATATTCCTTTATTCATCTGAAACGATATGCTAAGAAGATTGTAGCACGAATTATACTTTCCGGCGAAATGATCTTAGATGAGAGAGAACAGCTGCTGAAAGACACGCCATATACAAAATGCACACGTAAACGCACGTGTGTATACATTCCTCCGGTGATCATTTTAATGTATCGCGATTTTTATTTAAGGCTCCCAAATATTCGATACGTATATTACAGAGCTCAACGTCGCTCAACGTTGGCGTAATTCCGTTACGTGAGAGTTCCTATGTAGGATAATTTCGTTTAGAATGTATCTATAATCCAATTATCGGAACACTTGCGAGTAATGTTATTTTAGCGCGCGATTGCCTCGAAGGGTATATATATATATATACGGTGTATATATGTACATATATACGCATTAAGTAAAAATCTCTCAACATGTCTTCGACGTGCTTTATACATTCTATCTAGTTTGTTTTTTCTTACGGCAATATGTGTGTACCGCGCCAAAAAATGTACCGGTGCGATAAAAATTTTCGAAGATCTTGCATAACGTAATACGATGTCGTAGAGTCCTAAATATAAGTAGAGAAGCGCAACTGAATTCGCGATATATCGAAAATATGTAACAAAAATATTTTAACTTAACGACATCGTGCACGGCATATATATTTTTAGTCACAAACAAAATAAACCATGTGTGCTTCTGATCAAACTGTTATGTCGGTTGCACTCTTATCTATTTACTCTAGTTGAACGATATCACTTAACGAGTGTGATTTCTTTAACGAGCGTGCACGTGCGTGTTTGTATGGACGCGTGCATGTGTTTGTATATCAGCAAAATCCGAAGTGCTAAATAATAGTAAATAATTAGCAAATTATTTGTAAACGGCACAGTTTGGAAAGTTTTGTTGAAAGCATGTTTTTGATATACTCTAATACGAGCTAATACCAGTCAGTCGCGATAATTTCACCTAGTCTCATCGACGACTCGATGTTGTGACAGAATCGTGTAGCACAACCATCACATACACACAATAGTCAGATATCGCCTAAACAATGAAAAACACGATATTTTTTTAATGGAAAATATCAACGATTTATTAATAAAATAACGATTTCAAAGCAAGACTATACATGTTGCGGTACAAATGAATGTCAAGCTGAGGCCAGCTCCTAGATCACAGACTCGGCGCTTGTGTACGCTACGCTTACGCTAGTAACAACCGCTGTGAGCCACGACGGTTGTTCGAGATCGTAATGTCGTCACCGTATGATCACTGGGGAGAGAGGCTCATTCGTAACCGCGCAAGTTACCAGCACTTTCGAGCGGACTAGAATCGAGCAACAACACCTGATACTCTGCGCCAGCTGGGTCGTCTTGATAATATACCGATGGCAACTCCTCTATGAACAACAGATTCCCGCACAGATCACCCGTACCTAACGCGACTGAGGAGGACGATGAGGACGTCGTGACACAGGATGTCACGACCGAGCGATCCACTGCATCTGTTTGTGCATCATATATCTTTCGTCGAAGCACGTCCGATAACGTAAGGCTGGTGCGCGCTGAACCATGATCCTTGTTCGCAGCTTCTTGTACGGCTTCATCCGTTCGTAACGGTTGCACACTGATCTTCGGTAGAACGACGTTGTCGAAAGAGGCTGGCTTTGATAAATAACACACCGCTCTTTTCGTCGGTAGCAACGAGGATGAAGCGCTCAGATTGACAACGCGCACTTCGTCGCTCGTCATTACCGTTTTCTCGTCCGCAGTGACCACAGCGGCGATAGGTGAACTCAAGGACCAAGTGGTGGTCGTCGTTGACAGAGCAGATGACGACGGCAGCGGCGGTGATGAGAGTGACGGCGATGTCGAGGACGATAATTTACAGAGAACATAATCCGTGATCGACGGACCCTTTTGCAGCGAGTCTTCCTCGCACTGCACAATCACACCGTGCACCTTGAGCGCATGCTGACGTAACGTCGTCTCGTTTGAGTACAAGTACGCGCACGTCTCGATCGGACAGTAATACGCCGTACGCAGTTGATCCTTGTGGAAGGCGTACGTTGAATCGTCGCAGGACGCTGCGTCGCTCTCCTCCAATCGGAGTGGTTCCATGGATACCGACTGGATAGGCTTCGCTGCTCGTGAGAAGTGAGATGCTTTCGTCCTCGCGCCTTTCCGGCCAGCGTTCGATAAATCGTCCATCTTCGTCAACATCTTGGTCTGATGCTTCTTAATGTGCACATAGAGACTACTTTTGGCAGAGAAGCGCGCGTCGCACACGAAACAATGAAAGTAACGGCCTTCGGTGTGCGTCAGCCGGTGTTCCTTCAGGTGTTCGGAGCGCATAAAAGCTTTCCCGCAGCCCGGCGCTTCGCAGGCAAACTTACGCTCATTCGTGTGCTTCTTCTGGTGTCGTTTGAGCTTACTGGACGACGAGAAGGACCACTTGCAATCCTGATAGGTGCAATGATAAGGCTTACAGCCGGTGTGAGAACGCGTGTGGGCCTTCAAGCGACACGGTTTGTCGAATACTTTGCCGCAGCCGGGCCACGAGCACTTGACGTCCACTTCCTTGTAGCTGTGCGAACGCTGATGAGACGTTAACGCGTTGTTGCTGTAATACCGTTTGCCGCAGTGTTGGCACACGTACGGCGCGTGACGCTGATCGTGCGACTTCATGTGCAGCTCCAGCGCCCTTTTCGTTTGAAACTTCTCCTCGCAATCGGGAACTTGACAGAAAATTCGATTCGGACGGCTGTGCAGCTTCGCGTGGCTCCACAAGTTGTAGACTGTGGTGAATCTGCGATTGCACCCTTCCACCTCGCACACGTGATCCTTGCGCTTCAGATGTGTCTCCTTATGCCGTTTCAGCTTGAACTCGGAGTAGAACGCCCAGGCACATCCCTCGTGATCACACTGCAAGAAAAGATTATATCCGCTGTAATTTTCACCATTTGAACAGGAGATGCTCTCTTACCTTAAACGGCCTGACCCCGTAGTGGGTCAATAAATGACCCTTGAGAGTGTAAAGCCTGCCGAACTGCCTGTTGCAATCGTCTTGCGGGCAGAGCCAGACCTTGTCGTGCGCGGTGACGCATACAGGTTGCAGACTGTCGTCAGTGATGCCCAATTCCTCCAAGGCTTTGGATATCACGATCTCGTACTGACTATTACCGGAATTGTCGACGCTCGATATACCGTTCCAAACGTCGATCTTTGGCAGCATCGGAAAATTCCCCGTGGCTTCGATCAGCTCCGACGTTTTGCCCTGATAGACCTGCCGTTCCTTGCCGGTATTGATGACGATCTGCGTCATGTTGGAGGTTTTGTCGGTCGATATAGCTACCACGGCCATCACGTCGTCCTGACCGTCGTCGCGGATGAAGCTTCTGCCGAGCCGCTTTTCCGACATTTTCCCTCGCTTCTTGATGATACGCGGCTCGAGTTTCACCCTTGCCTTCAATTGCTCCATTATGGCGTCTGATACTTGAGGGGCCTCTTGCCTCTCAACTTTCGACAAGTTCTCCCCTATCGGCGCTAGGATTCCCATAAAGAGTCCCGAAGGATTCTTCGCCGAGGACTGCACTGCTTCCTGCTTGGTATCGTCTTCCGTCGCCTCTACTTTCTTACTTTCCTCTTTATCTTTCGGATCGTTGACGGCAATCCGAGTGGATTTCTTGCAATCATCGCCGCTTCGCGAGACGTCATCCTGGCTCTCCGCGGCGTACAATGTCGATTGATCGGACGGCAGTATCTCCATCATGTCGTCTGGCGACAGCGTCAAAGTATCCAGATGGTACAGATGAAAATCTGACAGTATGTATTCGTCATCTACCTTCTCGCTCGGCATCTGAAGTATTGGATCGGTCAGATGCTCTTTCTTTTCTTCGGTGGCCAGGTCGATGTCGATCGACAGGCCGTAAGGATCCTTCTCCAGGAAACTGTGCGGCGACAATGCTTCCCCACCTAGGTATTGATCCACGTCCTCCGTTACCTTGCCGTCCAGGTCCATGCTCGTAGGTTCCCTCTTGAACCATTTCTCAAAGTCAACTGAGAACTTCTCGGCTACTAAAGTAGTCTCGACAACGTCGTCACTCCTGCCGCTCGCCGTTACTTCAGTCGTCCTAGTTCTCGTACGACAGTTGTCAGCGGTCTTGTCTCTCTTGCCAGCCACTACCGTCCGCCGTTCGTCCTTTTTCTCACGATTGTTTTCAGAGACAAGAAGTGTGTAGCGGGATGGTGACGGGCGGTTCTCGTTTTCGCTAGAATTGATGATGCGTTCTCGAGTATCGCGTCGCCTCGGCATACAAGAAGAAGAGGAAGCGACAGCAGCGGCGACGACGGCAACGGTGGAAGAGACAGAAACGATTCTTCCTCCTCCACCTCGCTCTCTACAAGACATTGGTCCGCGCCGTAGCGGTCAGTACTGCGGAAGCCCGGGCGAAGTGACGACATTCGACGCATATTATCTCTTCGTGGCGAGTTCGGAACTATCGCGGCGGCTTGCACGTGCAATTGATGAACGTATCGAGCATATCGCACTCACCATTTTTACCCGATTCGCGAACATCGCGACCGGCTGCACGTGCAATTCTCTCTGTCTTTGCTTGCGCTCACCTCACACCGAGCAATCACGGAGGTACGCCGAGGATTGCGCGGTGCGACATGGCGGGATTAACGAAGAGACAACATAACCTTACCATGTACACTGCGTCGCGGCACACAGGCGGGCGGGATAGACCTCTATCGTCGCCGCTGTCAGATCAATACGGCACCAGGTTAGTCAGCCCGAAAGTTTCGCCCGGCGTTACCACGACGATGAGTAAAATAAACGGATTGTTTCCCTCACTTTTCTTCATGCAACCGTGAAATCAAATGTGCACTTTCGTTGTCGAATTAATCGCTTCGGATAATAAAATATAGGTTTTAAAACGCTGATGAAACGAACAGTTTGACGCTGTGACAACTGAACCATTCGCTCGCTGTTGTTGGGAGTCATCTGACGACAGTTGCGAGCGACTCGTCGATCACGTGACGCTTGCAATTCTCCGACACGCTTGACGGTTGATGCATTTTTCTACCGGCTGCATTCTAATTTTCCACTCATTTCATTGTATTTCTCGCGCATGCTACTTGGTCAGATTTGAGAATTTTTTTTATATTTCTATGCACTTGCATCCACGATGTTAGGGCCGGTGTTGATAGTCAGATTTTATATTTAAAACTGTCCGAAGCTTATCTTCAGATACTCTATAGCTCATTTCATTGGCCACGAAGCATCTGAAGATAAATATGAGAGCCGACTATGAATATACCGACCTATAATGGAGTACAATCATTGGCGCGTTCAGTGAGACTCTCAACTAATCCAGTACATCTAGAGCTTCAAACTTATCGTGATGGTATGTCCCTGAAAAATGGGAACATTACAAATGATTTATGCCCATAGGACGTGGCAACGCTTGCCGTGCGGCGGAAGTTCTTGCGGCAGCCAATCAACATGCCGTTTTTCCATGAGAACTAAAAGTTTATTGGCTGCCGCATCGCTCATTGCCGTGTCCTGTGGGCAGAAGCTACTACACCAGCAACAATCCAGCACGAAACAAGCATCATATGTCACTGGTTTTATTGCACTAGTTCAACAGCAGTGCTGTTATAAAGAATAGACCACGTTTGTTTGAATATTTCTAACCTTTTCCTCAGCAGAAAAGAGTTATTTTAACAATTATGGCGAGATATTCCAGTGAATCGGACTCGGATTACAGTAGTAGATATCGAAGAAGACGAAATCGAAGGTCAAGGTAAAACAATAAAAATCATTTTATTCTATTATTGGTAACACGCGATCCGACTACCGGGTTGGCGCCGCATTCTTTGTGGATTTGTTTTTGATGTTTCATCCTGATACATTTTAGGTCGTTCGTCTCCCTAAAAAAATAAATTCAGACGTTCACATACATTGAAAACAAATCTACGAAAAACGAAATACCAACAAGCGAACCAAATCAAGCATTTCATTATATCGTGAAAGCCTAAAATATCAGTTGGTTGCACCATTTTCCTGTGTCTTCCTTACGTTTGGTATATTTAATTATCAATGAAATTATCTAAAATAAAGAAGTGAATTCCGATCCTTCCAGATCTAGCGGTTCGAATTCTAGCGATTCCTCATCTCATCGAAGGAGATCCTCGAAGCACTCAAAAACAAAACGTAGGCACCGTTCAAATTCAAGAAGCAGAGGAAGAGATCGTAATTCAAAGAGTTACAGAGGATCCAGGAGTAGTCGTTCGAGGGACCGAGATAAAAGACGTTATCGTTGTAGCACAGGCAGATCTCATTCTTCAGATCATTCCAAGAGAAAAGCTAGATCTACCTCAAGAGAAAAGTCACGAAGTCCTTCCAGTAGTTCACAATCAAATCAAGCAAAAGTTAATGTTGAGAAAAGCCAAGTTATGGCAGTAAAAGGTAAACAAATTTTATCTTTTTATCATAATAAAACTGATTTTATTATGCATAATAGGTGATATCATTCATAATTATGAATTTTATCTTTATCAATATCATAGGCATAGGAGTAGTCAAAATTAGTGAGGAAAGTGAATTTTATTTTTGGAATAATAAAAAAATAGTGTGGTTTAAGAAAGCGTATAAAAAGTATTGTAAAAAGTGAGTCTTTTTCAAATAATTTGAAAGTCAATGAAGAGAAAAATTTTAATTTTGAGGAATAAAAAGTTATACATAGAACCTAGAATTTATTTTTAATTCAGTTCGGTTATTTAATGACATCATATTTTAAATTCAGTTGAGTTATTTTGTGACATCAGCAGTGAGAAAACATTTCAAAAATTCTTGCGATATACGTTCAAATAAAGATATATATTCATAAAATGACATTTGTGATCGATTCAGTACACTTGTAAAATTGTCCGCGCACTTTTCTTTTACTCGAACCAATACTCGAATCAATAAACAGCCGTAAGATTCATTTGACACAAAACCATTCATCTTAACCTCTTCCCTCATGATTTTGTCAATGTTAATTTTACGATTATTTGCGCTTGTTCAAGTAAAAGAAAAGTACACGGACAAATTTACAAGTGTACTGAACCGATCACATATTTTGTGAATATATTTTTTTTATTTGAACGTAAAACGCAAGAATTCTTGACATGTGTTTTCTCGCTTGTGACGTCATCAAAGAAGGACAATTGCACCTAGGAACCTTAAGCTACATAGCAATATATTTCCAGAATGTTAGAATATCCTATATCTTTTCGTCAAATAAAAACAAATTTTAGAAATAAAAAAATTTTAATTACCGATTTTTTGTTGAAAGCAGACTAGTCGACTTTTTAAAAATAATATTCAATAATATATTCAATAATAACCAATTTTAAAGAAAACAGATATATTCCTAACAGTCATTGTTTGTTTTTTTTATTTCATTTGTAAAAAAACTTCTTTTGGCTTGGTGGATAAACAAGAGTTATAGATGGACAAACGTGGACAATCGATTTCACTGCATGTTCGATAATTATCTGTTACTCTGATAAACTTGATATATATAAAAACAGCTTAAAAATAAAGTCACAATTTTTCACTTTATGAACATTGTGTCATTGGAGTTATTGTTCTATTTTCTATTTTCATTGAATCTTGTGTTTTATTTTTAAAGAAACTAGTTATTGAACACATAATTTCTTGTAAACGAATTTTTTTTTAAAAGCTCAAGTCGAGTAAGAAAAGTGAGTTTTTTCTTATTTTTTAATAAGAAAAAGTAGGATATTTTGAAATAAATGGGAAAAATGAGTCGCTCCCATTCCTGATATCACAATTTCAATCTGATAATCAGAAATATTAATAAATATAAGTTTATATTGTTTTCAGACGATTTTTCCATTGAACCACGTTTTAAAGAAAGTGTGCTTGATGAAATTAATGCAGAAGGTTTCACCCCAAAACAGTTCATCTCTTCTACTACCAAAGAGAGCAAATTTAAAAATATTGTTATTGATATCAGTTCAGATACTATACAGATCCCACCAGCACCGAATGTTCCTATTGGGTCAGAGAGTATATTTCACACATCGGTAAATTTCTTTTTATATTTTTGCATATCATTAGATAGATTATCACCAGATAAACAGTAATATTTATCTTCTTTCCCAGATCATGATGGATCAAGAAGCTAGATTTGAGAAGTGGGTGAAAAAGCTTTACACTCTTAGGCAAAAAGCTATAGCTGATTTAATACATACAAATGTTATTTGATAAGTATATGAGTATATATAACCATAATGATAATATTCTAAGTAAATATTTATTTTAAACATACGTTACCAAAACGTTAATGTAAACAATGAATATGTGTATTTCCAATCAATTAGTTTTTTTGTAAGTATAAATAAAACAAAATGTACATATGTATATCTCAAATCAAAATTTAACAGGCATTTAATATCTCATTGGTTTATTATTTGAAGAACATGAGTAATTGACGATGTGTTTCGAATAAGTAATGATAACGAAACTTAATTTAGTCTCAATAAAAAATTTTATTAAAAACAAATTTTATTTAAAAAATTTTATTCCACGGATTTTACGAGAATCCAACTGCACCGACACTGAGATTTATATACGTACCATTTATTTTTTGTAAGATTTTACAATTGTTTCGCGTGATACTTTACAAATTTGGTTTTTTTAATCTTGTGCATAAGAAAGTAACTCTTAATAATCAGAGATGGAAATAATGATTGTGTAAATGCTTAACTACAATCATGTGAAATGCGAG